CTTGATAGTGGTTTTCTTGATGATGGCTTGACCTACGTTCCGCACTAGCTCGCGTTTGTCGTTGTCGGAGGTCAACGTGAGGTTGAACATCAGTCGAACCGTGCCTGGTACGATGAGGTCATTCTCACCCAGGTTTGGGAATCTAACCAGCAGCGTTTGGTTCTGGTCTATCTTGCTGGGATTGTTGGTGATGGTCACCGACTGGCGCACGGCTCTGACGCCTAAAGGCTCTCTTAATCTTCGGAAAGGATCTAGTTTCCTACCATACATTGTTATATAGATAAAATATAAAAGTTTAATATAAATAATGGCTGAAGGCGGTCATGAGGACATCCCGATGGATGATATGTGGGATGATAGTTCCCAGACGTTCGGGGAGGAGGAAACCTCATTCACGAACAACCCCTTAAGCGCTGAACTTGTACAGCCGGCTGTCGACGATTATTACGACGCAGTTGAAAAGAGAGACAACATCAAGCTGTGGGGACGAGACTATACCAAGTTTACCATCGATAAGAAGGGCATGCTGCAATTGAGGGCTCACTCGGGGGTCGATATCATGAAAAAAGACGCGAAAGGACCGTATGCTTTGTCAACACTCACCAGTCGCCCTCGTGGGAGTCAGCTGATCCGTGATGAACTAGGCTTCACAGATTACGGTGGCGCACGGCCTAAGCTTCCCCCGAAGGTCGTCCAAGATCTGCAAGCAGCCAGGGGTGAACTCAGCGGTGAAGGTGATATGCCCCAACGTGCTGAAGAAACATCAGACAGTCTCGAAAAAATATTGACCATGTACTGGAACCAGCCTTTCCCGGGTCTCGAATTTCCCCTGAGGGTACGGTATGGCCTAGACGAAGCCTTGAAACGTGTACGTGGAGAACTCGTGAACAACATGGGGAAACTGAATGAAATCGATGAGCACATCACCTGCGAGAAAGTAAGATGGAAGACGAGTCTCTGAAAACCATCATCGAAAAACGATTGCGCAACTTGCAAGATGAGAGACGGACTCGGTTGGAATCGGCTTCCTCGAACCGGGAACAGCTTCGATCGCATATCAGCCGCATGCATGAAACCATCGATCGAGTCCTGAATGAAGATACCATGTTGCCAACAGGATCCGAATCCTCTTCCGAGAGCAAGGGATTACTATCGCCAGCATTCTGACTGCATTGGGCTTCATCATATCAACCCTGGTCATGTCGCTGACAGGGGGCACACCCACACCCCCAAGTGGGGGTACACCCACTGGTGATGTTAGAGACTGGGGGAAAAAACACCTGAAATCACTCGCTGGTAAGGCCGCCGAAGCCCTCCCCGGCATCCTGGGTAGCATTGTCTCGTGGCTGCTGAGCACGCTAGCTAAAACTGTCACGTGGCTCGGTCAAAACCTGTGGGCAGCCATCGTCGCCGTGGTGGGTCTGGTGTACGTAGCGGCTAAGGAATTTTTAACCAAATGAGACCCAAACCAACCGCGATCCCCCCGACCACCAGTGCTGTTTTACGGCCGATGTGCTGCTGATTGGATGCCTGCACGTGTAGGGGTTGGGGTTGTGTGTGTGTGGGTTGAACCCTAGGCTCTGGGGGTGGTACGACTATACCCGTTTCACTGGTCGTGGGGGGTGGTATGTGGGGGACATTGATGTCTGGGTTGACACTCAACTTTGGTCGGCCGTGTCTACGACGATTTTGTTGTTGTAGCCCACCACCTTGTTGATTCTCAGTTGCATGTCGCTTGGAGCCATGTACAGTCCTACGTCGAACACATAGTCGACTTTCGACCGGCCATATTCCAACACGTCTTGGTATTGTCGGATGGCACCTGGTAGATTGACCGGGGCGGAGATGGCATCCTCGACGTTGGACACGAACTGTTTCTGCGCGTCTAAAGCAGTACCCGTACCGATGATGCTGGAACGCGTTTGCGTCTGCGCACCTAACAGCGCCCACACGTACGTTCGAGTCGAGTCGTTCAATCTGGTGACACCAGCACGAGTAAATCCTTTCGACGTGTCCAGCATGAACATTTTCCAATCATCTGCGGTGGGCTGCTCCACTTTCTGTACGGTGAAAGCAACACCACCTTTAAAGTTCATACGGTCATCTCGCCATTCATTACTCAACAAAGCAAAGTCCTGGCGTAGTACATCTCGTTTCAGTAAATCATCACTGACTTCTTTCACGGGTCGCCCCCCATCATATTGAATACCCAACCCGTGGTTCGGCCCTGGCAAACGCCAATCCGTCTTCGGGTCTAGTTCGAATTCATTGCAAACGCGTTCGTAGGCCCGTCGATCGTACGGGTTGTTTACTGCGTCCCATGCTTTGTCCTGGGGGAGCGGAGCGCTGATCTCTTTGAGGATACGCCTGACCTGGTAGTACACGTGAAACGTGAACACAGACTGGCTCAGCGGTCCCCGCCGAGTGTCGGTCAATGTTGAGCCACACCCCAGAACTGCATAGGGGTGTTGAACCAGGCAGGGACTGCCTTGACGTTAGTCACTGAAACCTTATACCGGTCGAACACATCTATGAACGGGGCTCCCAAATACAACCCAGCAGCGACCACGATCTTCATGTGCGGGAAATCTATGTCCAGTTAAGGGTAAAACACTCCCGGTTTGTACATTTTTAAAGTATTATATAATGGGTATTTACTCTAACATGTACGTAACACTTCCAGCAATAACGAGCGGCGAGTCCGTTCAGATGATGTATGCGATCAATAACACGTCGGGCCAACTCGAAGTCGCACTCTGCGATATCACCTACCTACCGCGATGGACTAACATCAACGCCAGCAACAACAAGCTGTTCGTCAGATAACTGACGGCTACTACAGCGTGTGCTCGCTAAGCGACGAGGTCTTCAAACCCTTGGTACCCGAACTCAAGATGAACAACTCAAACAGCACAGTGGTGTTAACCAACAACGGAATAAACCCCTTGAGGCTCGGCCGACCATTGGCGAGGACACTCGGGATGTCGCCTGATGAGATAAAACCCACAACTACCGTCACAGGCACGAAGTTACCCGACCTAGTACCGTACCGAGAGCTATGCATTCATCTCGACCAGTTGAGCACAACGGACAACATTCAAGGTGGCCACCCTTCCACGATACTGAGAGCCGTACCGGTGAAAACGGAGAAATACAACGACGGCAGAACCGAGTCGTTTTCACCGCGTACAAGAGGTTAACTCGGGGCACCATCCCTGAGTTGATAATATCAGTGTTAGATATAAAGCATAATCCTGTTAATATAGGATAACTCAGCATAACGCTGCACGTAAGATGACTGCCGCAGAAGGTCCCGGAAGGGTGAAGAGATGCGTCAATGTAGGGATCTCCGACCTCGGGGACACACACGGGTTCGACGCCCCAGGAATAGACGGTAAACTGTACGCCTAGCAACTTAAAAATAACATTTACAAACGCGTTGAAGTCCCCGCCGGATGATCCGACAGTAACTTAAGTGATATCATCAATACCGAAGGAACGAACAGCAACACTCGGTACGCCCTAGTCCGCAGTGATGATGATAGATGGATGTTATACCCAGCGTTCGTTGGCAGCAAACTGTTCGACCTAGGCGACGTCGAGGCCACGCCCGTTGCTCGAAACAAGCAGTATACCCTCGTCTTCACCGATGACGACAAGTGGGTGTTGTTACCCACTCGAGTAGATTGGTTTCTCAACATTAGGCTCGGCTCCCCCTACGTGTTCATGGAAAACAAAGACAACTACCTAAACAAAGTCGTGAACAACGGAACCCTGCTCGTGGCTTACGTCCCGACGCAGAGGCGTAGCGTAGTCATCAGCCCAGTCTCGAGTGCTACAGCCCACATGCTGTCAAGCAAGCCTGGGGCGCAAAACGTGACATTGCAGTTGGTGTCTGAATTCGAAGGTGTGGTCAACATCCTGGAGAGTCTACCGGCGAACTCCACGCTGGTCATCCAAGTCTACCTAGGTGAACCACAGCGTGAAGTCGAAGTTGTAAAGGGGATCAAACTCCGGTGGGGGAAACAACACCAGTATGACGTTTGCACTGTTTACGTGCGGGTGGGTGTCGACTCCCACACCAATCTGCAGGGGGTCACCGTGACCGTGGAAGACACGATATCACTCACCAAGATCTTCTTACCCGACAACATACACTTCATGGGGGTGAAGTGCGCCCCTGAGAAATTATCAGAAAAACAGTTGGAAACTATCTTATGATAGTAATATAACAATGACTAGTCACCAGCCCAACGTCACGCTTAACGACCTAGGAGACACGGAGGGATTCGATCTGCCCGGCGAGGAAGACACCTTGTACGTCCTACACTTGAAAGACAACGTGTATAGGCGGGTGTCCCTAGCAGACTATAAAGAACCCGAATGGTTGATCAACATGACCCTCACCGCACCTTACATCTCTTTAGATGAACATAGGCGTGTCACCCAAATTAGAAACAATGGTATCTTAATCGGGTCTTTCATCCCGAATTATATGTGGGCTATAGAAACTCATTTAGCACCATGGGGCCCGAGTAACATGATAAGTGCACCCGATGGAACAGAGTTAAGGTTTGACGCACCCGATTCCCAATATATGGAACTATACTACACGCTCGTCTAAGAATTTTATCTGCACCACCTTCAGGATATAACACCAACTTTTACCTGGGGTAACAATAAACTTGACCATCGAGGGCGCTTACCAACCTTGCCGTATCATCATAAAAAACGGTGAGATGCTAGGCCGCGGGAATCCGGCATACACCAAATCAAACCTCCATGGGGTTAATGTGGACGTAAAGGCGCCTATTGAACTCTCACCTATTTACCTGGGTAATGGGGTAAGACTTATAAGTCTCAAATATATTGAGGATAATATAAGGGAAACACAATTAAAAAGTATCTCATAGAATATATTATATGCACAGGATGGGCCTGTACCCAGTCGTAGAGGACGTAGCAAAGACACTGGAAACCGTAGACAGATTCCGCTTGAGGCAGTTATGTGATGTAAAACGTGGAAAGCACTATGTAAGAAGTACCATAGAGCTTTCAATATCGTGGATGGGGCTGATACTACTTTACGACAACCAGCATGGGACTAGGGGCGGCAGGTGTTGGGTTGTTGGCCACCATCGTGGCCGCACCTATAGTGCTAGGCATTGAAATAACAGCTGGGGTGGTAGGGGTGGTAGGGGTGGTGTTTAAGTTTGCATCACGCAGACTGCACCGTAAGGCATTGAAACACAACGAGATCAGGGTTCTAGCTGAAGCAAAGCTGAACATGGTAAGTGAGCGTATTTCCACAGCACTCACTGACAGTAAGATCTCAGAGGAGGAATTTCGTTCAATACTCTCTGAACTCGACAAGTACTGTAAGATGAAACAAGAAATCCGGTCCAAGTCTCGTAAGTCTGCTATCAGCGAAGACGAGAAAAAAAGTACATAGAACAAGGGGTACGAAAAGCCCAGCAAGCCTTCATTACGAACACCAAAGAGATCATAGGCGATTCACATTAAACTGTTTCATTGAGGTCAACACGACATAGGGCGGGCACAATAGTGCCACGTGATCAGGAAAGTGCTAGTTCGCGGTCATAGTGACCGGGAAGGTAACTGGGTATTCAAAAGTAGTATATACATTGGCGGCAAGATCTAAGGGCCTGACAAAAGCTTTATTTCATAAATAAAGCTTTACAGAGGCTTTTCTTGGAATTGATCTCGGACAATCATTGTATATACTACTAAGCGAGACACGACTATGATAAAAGCTTGAAATTTTCAGTGATGAAAATTTCAAAGCATTGATGAAACATTCTATGTCAATCATTCTAAGGCCTCCATCCTCATCTTATGATTTTTGTTATTCCATATGAATCTATAGATTATTTTATCGAGTTGATCAATGACTGTTTTAGGTGGGTTAGGAAGTGCAGGGAAGATATTACTAGAGTAGAAATTGCTACAGTTTTGACAACTAGCCAACTGGCGAGTAATATATTAATATGTTCTTTTTAAGAGAAACATTCAGAGTGAGTCCTGTGTCTCCACTACCTGTCATTGTGTTTATTTTGAGTCCTGACATATCATAGAATTAAATGGGTAAGAGTTCCTCCCGTTCCCCCATCCCAAATACTATTTATAAATATACTAAAATTATTAACAAAACTTGACACAACAATTACTAGAGAACTCACAAAATGACTAAAAAGTCCCAAAAAAATTAAGTCAGGGTTAGGTTTAGGGTTAGGTTTAGAGCTAGGTTTAGGGTTGGGGAACGGAAGGAACTCTTTTCATTACATGCAGCATTGAAGCTTTTTGTCAGACGCGTCCAAATATAGTTGTGTATCATCAGCATATTGTCCAAGTCAATGTTCTATATCAAAAAGTGTTATACCCTATATATTGACCTTATCATAGAGCCTAATATTTCAACTGCTAGGACAAATAAATAAGGGAAGACCCTGTCTTCATCATCGTTTCTGATGGAAAAAGGAAGAAATGTGCCCATTTGTATCACAGCAGCTGTATTACCAGAATTTGAATTCATTTGATAATGTTGAGCCCAAATCCAAACGCTTTCATTACCTGTATTATAAATGTTTTGGAGATGAATTAGTAATAATAGGCCAGGTGTATTTAACTTTCTGGTTTCAAAGACTATATCAGAGAAGTCTTATATTTTCACTCATACATGTATTAAACCTGTTTGATTCTCATGTACACTTGTATCTAATGTTAATTAAATCCTGTTTGCTATACAGGTGCTTATTATTTTGTTGAGGGAATTTTGTATTGAGTGTGTGAGTTGGGTTGGGTTTTACGCCAATTGTAGCAATATTCCAGCAATACCATTTTCTATTCAGAGGGTAGGGGGGTTACCAAGTATGATCAAACCCATGATTTACTGCATATTCTGTATTTGCTTGCCTCACATTGTCGGAAAAGCGATATGGGACATTTTTCGAATGTCTGTTTTGAAACATGAAGTGAAATTTGAATTTATAACAGCGTTTATTCAACTTTCACCTGATGTACTTTCACCTGATTTTCAGAGGACTATGCTACATTGAAATGACACAAATACGGATAGTTAGATGTATAACAATTGTGTACATGTTGGACGAAAATAAGTTGAGTTTATAAATATGTATTGCAGGTGTCACTCTTTCTAAATTTAAAATTACAAGTAAGACCAATAGTGGCACAGGTGTTTTGCTCATTTAATACAAACAAATGCCAATAACAAACACAATTTACTTCAACATTCATTGGGGCGGTGGGGTAGCCTAGTGGTTAAAGTGTTCGCTCGTCACGTCGAAGCTCCGGGTTTGATACCCCGATTGGGTACAATATGTGAAGTCCATTTCGGGTGTCCCCCGCCGTAACAGTGCTGAAAAATTGCTAAAAGCGGCGTAAAACCAAACTCACTCACTCACTCACTCACAGTGTTGAAATAGTTCCGGAGAACATGTTACATCATCAATCAAGTTGCCCCATTACGTCCAGTGAATGTATAATCACCCACACCCTGTTCACCCTCACATCTTCCATTCATTATATCAATGTATAAAACTGCCCAAACACCACAACAGATTTTACCAATTAGGTAAAATTCTATAAGTAAAAGAATGCCTCTGGACAGTCTACCGGCTTTAAATGTTTTCTCAGCATCCTTCATATAACTGATATAGTCAGCAAAAACAGATTTCAGATCAAAACCATTCGTCCATGTTTCAGTTTACTCGATGATTTCATGTGATTTTAGAAACCGACAACAGTCATAATCATCAAGCTTTGATAAAAGTCCGGACACATCCAGAATACAAAGTGCATTTTTATCAAGTATTTACACAGCTATTTACACAATGTGGTGAACGAAGTTCCGTAGAATCACACAGGCCCTGACGTTAAAGGGTCGAGTGGGATTTTGATACATGGATCAACTAACACAATGTGTTGAAGGAAGTGCCGTAGAATTACATAAGCCCTGGCTTTAATGGATCGAGTGGGATTTTGATACATGGATCAACTAACACAATGTGTTGAAGGAAGTGCCGTAGAATTACATAAGCCCTGGCTTTAATGGGTCGAGTGGGATTTTGATACATGGATCAACTAACACAATGTGTTGAAGGAAGTTCCGTAGAATTACATAGGCCCTGGCTTTAAAGGGTCGAGTGGGATTTTGATACATTGATCAACTTACACAATGTGTTGAAGGAAGTTCCGTAGAATTACATAAGCCCTGGCTTTAAAGGGTGGAGTGCACGTTGGATTTTGATACATGGATCAACTAAACCAGCCAGCTATAGCAGAGAGAATAAAACCGACTTTAACCACATTTATCAGTGAGGAACAAAAAGGCTTCATAAAGGGTAGATATATGGGAGAGGTTACAAGACAAGTGTATTACGTTATGGAATATGTGGATACCTATCAGATTCCAGGCTTGTTAATGCTTATTGATTTCGAAAAGGCTTTCGATTCTTTAGACTGGCGATTTATTCAAAACGTTTTCGCTTTTTTTAATTTCGGCCCTCCCATTCGAAAATGGATAAAACTGCTCTATAAAAATTCTGAATCCTGTGTATTAGTAAATGGTTTTGCTAGTCCCTTTTTTAAACTAAGTCGAGGTTGTCGCCAAGGAGACCCAATCTCTCCATATATTTTCATAGTATGCACTGAAATATTAACCAGATTACTTAAAAGCAATAAATCTATCAGAGGATTAAAGATTGGATCTATTGAACAATTATTAGCGCAGTTCGCAGATGATACTTCCTTAATGTTAGATGGTACTGAAAGGTGCTTGCAAGCAGTCGTGAATACATTAACCTTTTTTGCACGTTTTTCTGGTTTAAAAATTAACATTGATAAAACAAAGTTGATTTGGATCGGCTCCAAAAAACGTAGCCGAATGAATCTATTGAAGAACTGTAAAATGGACTGGACTGAAACATTTAAGTTACTGGGTATCAAATTTGACATTGATCTTGAGAATATGGTAGATGCTAATTACAACGAAAAATTTAAAGAAATTGAAAATTTAATGAAAATGTGGAAATGTAGAACGTTAACACAGTACTAAAATCCTTATTGTTACAAAAACTTAATCTCTTATTTTCTACCGTTCCTACACCACCAGAAACTGTAATACAAAATTTCCAAGCAAATTGCTTTCGATTTATTTGGAACGAAAAACCCGATAAGATTAAAAGGAACAGGGTAATATGCAATATTCCGGACGGGGGTTTCAATACTCCATTTGCAAGGGATGTAATTGCTTCTCAAAAGATTTCATGTCTTAGACGATTTACCTTCTCGAACACAATACACCAATTATTTCTTTATGAATCAAATACTATTCCAAGTAATATGCTAGAAATGGATGCAGTCTATATAAGAGATAATATCATTAACAACATAAGAAACCCCTTCTGGCGAGATGTTTTATCATCCTGGGCTCTTTTCCTGAATAAGCATAAGAAAACACGAAAGGATGCGTACTCACAGTATACATGGTATAATGATAATGTTAAGATTGATAAAAATATTGATATTTATTAAACAATGGGAGGAAGCCGGAGTAAAATATATCAATGATTTGATAGATCAGGATGGTCAAACTCTTTCATACCTAGATTTCAAAAATAAGTACAATATTTCCTCCAATTATTTAACGTTTCACGGGGTAAAAAAGGCTTTGAATAAATCTTTAAACGAGCTTGATTATGACGATAATAATACCATTAACAGCACCATTATTACCATTTTACATTCGTTTGCTCCTGAATACCAAAAAGGGCTCAAAATATTACTTTAATGTGTTATTAGGATCCAAGTTCCAGAAGACTTCAGCCAATCAACAATGGGAGAAAGAAATAGTAAAACAATATACAGATATGGAATGGGGGAATATTAATGAAATTCCATTTCGATCAACTGATAGTGTTCAATTACGGTGGTTTCAATATAAACTTATTAACCGAATCCTTCCAGTTGGAAAATATTTGTTTAAGATTGGATACCAAAACTCTCCTATCTGTACAACTTGTCATAAGTTCATAGCAGATATTTGTCATGTTTTATGGAATTGTGAAATTGTGAAATTGTGAACTCAATCTGGATTGAAGTCCAAAACTGGGTAAACAGCAAGGCGGAAATCAATATACAGTTTACTAATGAAACAATTTTGTTGGGCTTTCCTTCTAAAAGAAATGACCCTTTAAACGTAATCTGTCTCGTAATAAAAAACACAATTTTCAAAGTTTATGTTAAACGAGGAAAACTTTCCTTTGCTTCGATCCAGAGGGAGTTAACAAATTACTATAGCATAACAAAAGCCATAGCTTACTCTAACTGTGATTACAACAAATTTGTTAAATTTTGGTCCAGTTGCCATAAGTTGTTTGTTTGACCAATATATTCAACTACTCTTTTCGATGAAACTTCGTTCTATCGATGCACAACATTGATCCAGTTGCCATAACTTGGTTGTTTGAACCACTCTATTCAATTACCCTTTTCGATGAAACTTTGTTTATCGTTGTATGACATTAGTCCATCTGCTATATGTGGTATGTTTTGAACGACTTTATTCAATTACTATTATCAATGAAACTTTGTTTATTGATGTATGGTCCAGTTGCCATAAAGCAGTTTGTCTCTTAACAACTCTATTCAATTACCCTTTTCGATGGAACCTTGTTTCTCGATGTATGGTCCAGTTGCCATACGCAGTATGTTTCTTAACCACTCTATTTATTACCCTTTTCAACGAATCTTTGTGTATCGATGTATGACATTGGTTATACCACTCTATTCAATTACCCTTTTCAATGAAACTTTGTCTATCGATGTATGACATTGGTCCAGCCGCCATAAGTGGTATGTTTGAACCACTCTATTTAATTACTCCTTTTGCTGAAACCTTGTTTCTCGATGTATAGCATTGGTCCAGTTGCCATAAGCAGGTTGTTTGAACCATTTTATCCAGTTACTCTTTTGATGAAACTGCTTCTCGATAGATGACATTGCTCGTGTTGCCATAAACAGTCTGTTTTCAATGAAGCATATGCTAAATGACATATTATGTATGACATGTATGATTTGCTGTACAACAAAAAAAGTGGAATAAAAAACAAACTAAACCAGCCATTCATCTAGGTGTTTTGTTGTAAAGTTCATTAGTAAAGCAGAAAACTTCCTTGATGACACGTCTCGGACTTAAACTGAAAATTAAATTTTGCATGTTGTAAACTACAGTTAAAACGAGCACAAGGGGGCGCTAATTATCGTTAATTCTGCGCATTTCGACTAAAATATCAATATAATATATAGCCTTCCAAAAATGGACAAACTCGAGGAAGGTGCAGTGGTCAAGTACTGGCAGAAAAGCGGTTAACACCCCCATTGATAAAGCCGGTCGGGCTTTTATACTCTCCCCAAAAAGAAACGCATATAGGAATTTCAACGGTATTTTTATGTTTATTTTAAAAAACATCTTGTAGGCTTTATGAGTCAATGAAATATAGCAAAATTGCACACTGGGAATGCAGACTTATCCGTCTTTGGCACCAACTCGAGGAAAGTCAGTTTGACTGTCACATGGAGACATGTGGTGGCGCTGAAGTCAATACCTCGTGTGACCACTGTGGGCATCCAAAACTGCACGGCATTGCCTCGGCATCGAACGAATAAGTCTCAGAATCTCGTGTTGCCCAATCGCAGCCCACTCTACCTGTAGTGCCTGTGCGAGTTGCTGAAGTGTCTGGGGCTGAGGGTTACGGCGTCGCACCCGTCCGTCCAGGGCATGCCACAGATGTTCGATCGGGTTTAAGTCCGGTGATCTTGAGGGCCAGGGGGGCACATTGATGTTGTGGTTCTGGAGGAAGTCTCTAGTGTGACGTGCTGTGTGGGGCCTGGCATTGTCCTGTTGAAACATCTCCCTCTGGCGATCAATGATTGGAAGGAGGTGTGGGCGTAGGATTTCGTCACAGTACCGTTGAGCTGTCAGGTTGCCCTGGATCATCACCAAATCACTTCTCCTACGGCAGGTGATCACTCCCCACATCATAACACTGTCCCGGCCGAATCTGTCCACCTGGCGAACGCAAGCGTCGGCGAAACGTTCACGTCGACGTCTGTACACCCGCATTCTTCAATCGCGTCGTTCCAATAGAAATCGTGATTCATCACTGAACCAGATTCTACGCCAATTCGGTAGGTTCCAGGCCTGAACGTTGGTGTACCATTGAACTCGATGTCGACGATGTTGTTGTCGAAGCACAGGGCCAAAATAAGGTCTTCTGGCACGTAAACCAGCCTCTCTCAACCTGTTCCTGACGGTCTGTGCAGAAAACCTCCTCAATCCGGGTATTTGTCGAGCGGTACTGGTCGCCGTAGCTGTTCGATGACGCAGCTGATGTACCCGGATGTAGCGATCCTGCGCCGCAGTGGTCGCTCGAGGTCGCCCACTACGAGGGGCATTATGCTACCGAATTCTGCCGGCGATATCTCTCCCAGAGCCGTGAAATGGTGCTTTGGTGAACATTCATGCGTCGGGCAACTGCACGTTGAGACGGGCCAGCTTCAAGCAAACCAATGGCGATATGACGGTTGGCTTCACTTAGACGTGGCATTTTGCGTTCGTCAACAATATTCCAAATACAGTGAATAATCGACAGACAGCGATCAACCTTTTATACCCATCATTGAGACTATCTGATCCCCAACTTTCACGTGCATTGCATACGAATTGTGTATTCTGTGACACTACACGCCGAAATTGAAAATCATGCTGTTAAATAAGGGTATTTTACGGATGGTGCGTTTTGTTATGATGTTTCAAAACATAAACACCATAGGACTCATAAACAGAGCAAAACCTTTTGTAAAATGAATCACGTTTTAATTCATTGCTACATGAAATTGCTATTTTCTTGATGCGTTTCTTTTTTGGGAAAGTATATATACCATCGGGTTCCCCTCGCTGGTTTTTATATATATATTATATACCACCTGGTCCCCCTAATGCTGTTTTTTAAATATATATACCATCTGGTCGCCCTAATGCTTGTTTTTACATACGGTCTCCCTAATGCTGATTCCAGATATAGATCCCGGTTTCCCTAATGTAGGTTTTGTATGTATGAAAATTAAGGAGACCGCAAAACACGTATATTTTTTATTTAAAATCTTTTTCGCAACATTTTTTTTCGAGTTGGCTAAGATGATTTAGAGCTACAATACACTATGAAAGTCAGCAAAAGTTATTTTAAAACAGAATATACACGTGGTCTCCTTAATGCTGGTTTTTACATACTGTCTCCCTAATGCTGGTTTCATATATATATATATATATATATATATATATATATGCATATACATACATACATGCATACATACATGCATACATACATACATACATTGTTTGAAGCACGGGTACAAATCTTTTTGTAGCCATCGCTAGATTTTGCTGACAAGAAAAAAACAGATTTAGAGTTATCTCCCTTCCATCGATTTGCATTCGCAAAACATCGGTAATTTCCGTACATCATACGTGATTCAATGTTATTCGAGATAAAGAATTACTACCACGAAGTACCAAATGAGTTGCCATTGACAGCGGGGTACATTGAAATGTTACTCGCTTGTAAGCGGGGTACATTGAAAATAATAGAAGAGCGCTCAGCCAATCAGAAAGCGACATTTATGTGTGAGGTAAGATAAACAAGATAAGGTTTCGTAATATCTTACTATTTCTTTTTGAAAGGTTAAAAAGCTTGGCTTAGTAATTTTTTCTTTTAAATTTGTAAAGGAGAGATTTTGTTATCATGATAACAACATTCAAAGGATTATTATGTTTACCCTTTAAGCCAAACAATATATGCTCTTCACTGAAGGTGATTCTGCCTTCTGTATAATGTCCAATTAACGTCTGTTATGGTCAGCGGAAATGCTACTGTGGACAGCCTGGACACATACAGAAATTTTGCCGGAGACCCAGGAGGGATTTAAACGAGTAGGAGCCAGGGGAGGGGGTCATTCCTCGGCTCATGTCAAGAAAGATAATGAGACCTAACCAGAAGATACAAGTGTTTCTACATGTGAAGTTGATAGTCGTGTTTTATATGCGACTGTGTATTTGGAAGGAATTCAGGTGGATGGAATGGTGGATACAGGTGCATCTATGTCAGTGATTGATGAAAAGTTTCTTAATTCCTTAGGATTTCAAGTCAAGTTAGAGCTTAAAGAAAATAGAGCTTGGTCTGCAAATTCATCAGTGGTGTTACCAGTTTAAATGTGAGAATTGGACCGAGGAATAAGAAGCTGAAAGTGAATGTATGTCCTGATAATTGTTTTGATTTGATTCTTGGAGTTGACTTTTTAAGGGATGTTCAAGCTTTTGTAGATGTGTCAAACAACATTTTGAAAATAGGAAGGCATACTTTTGCATTGAAACCAAAAGGTAACACAACTTTTGTCGCTCGCGTTGGAGTTAGTACAAGTACAGTTGTGCCAGCTGGTCATGAAATGGTATTTCCTGTGAAAGTAAATTCAGCTAGGTTAGTAAACTTTACTGGATTTCTTGAACCACCACCTAAATTTCAACAGAAACATGGATTGTTAGCAGCTAGAGTGTTAGCCAGACCAAAAAAAGTAACATTATGCCAGGTAGAGTTATGAATGTTTCTGAAGAAAACATCACTTTGTACAAGAATACTTACATTGGAGACTTTTATCCTGTCAGTAACCATGGTAACTGTGAATCAAGTGTGTCAAAAAGAAATAGTGCATCTTTTACTAAAACAACTCCTGTTCAAGATTTAAATGAGGCATGGTTATCTACAATTCAGCATGGTGAACTTCCTGAAAATGAGTGGAATCAAATGACTGATTTATTGGTGAAGTATTCTGATGTTTTCTCTAAGGGTGATCATGACCAAGGATGTACTAATCTTGGAATGTTTGAAATTGATACAGGTGACAGTCATCCAATCAGACAACCTCCTAAACGTGTTGAAAGAACAGTTGCTAGAAAATATGGAAGTAATGCAGGAATTGGAGATTCAGGGTGGACAGGAAGGGGTCATTGCTTATGAAAGTAGATCTTTGAGTAAAACTGAACACAATAATTTTCAACAAGAAAAGAACTATTGGCTGTGGTCAGTATGTGTGAACCGTTCAAGCATTATTCGATAGGCAGAAAATCTCTGATTAGAACAGATCATGGATCATTGAAGTGGCTGTATAATTTCAAAGATCAAGAAGGTCAAGTCGCCAGATGGATAGAATGTTTGGCTGAATATGAATTTCACATCGAACATCGGCCTGGACGGTTTGTCTCGTAAACCCTGTGGACAGTGTCATCCAACTTTTGAAACGTAAAATGTAGATAGTGCTAATGTACTTGGCCATGTAGGTGAAACTAGTCATGGAATTTCAGATAAATTTGATTGGCATGAAAAACCGAAAGATGACATATGTCTTAAGCAACTGTGGCAATGGATGGAGAGTGGCAAGAGACCTGAATGGAGGTATGTTCAAATTTCATACTGTGGGCTGAATGGAACCTTATAGAGGTGGCACATAATGTCCTTTGTTACAGATGGGAGTCTGGAGAAGAGAGAGGAGAACACAGAAGTTTGAAATTAGTACCTGAAGTGTTGCGACAAGAAGTAATGGAACTCTGTCATGATCACCCAACGTCAGGACACTTGGGCTACAAGAGGACCTTAGAGAGAATTAGGTGCAGATTCTATTGGACCAAGATGAAGCAAAATGTGAAAGATTGCTGTCTGAGTTGCCCCAAGTGTGTTAAACGGAATTCAACGCATATACAGAAAGCTCCATTAACTGAATCAGAACCAA